ATCTTTTAGGTCTACTGTCGTTTAGATTTCATTTCCGCCATAACGCAACTATTTCGGTTCTGCCGTCCTTATTTAAACGGTGTACTGGTTAGAATCTAGGACAAAATATCACATCTTAATTAATAATATTTTCTTAGACTTTGATCTTAAATAATCAAATGCAATCATGTGATATGTCTCGTGCTACATAGTTACGTCTGATAAAGTCCTGAATATTGACATATTGCTTAAAAATAAATAAATGAATGAAAACCAGTTACTATTATTAAGGTGAATTCATGAATGAAATTGAGAGTATAAAAGATGATACATGAATGACAACACAATGATCTATTTTATTCTGATTCAAGCATGAGACAAATCTGTCATAGATAAACAGATTTGGTTTGGAAGTTTGGCTGTACATGTAGAAACCATATAACAAACGGGATATCACCAGCCCAGTACTCAGCACTACTTTGTTAACATGACATATAATTGATATGGTCATATTTATATATTAACAGTTTACAAAACTTTGAATTGGTCGAAACTAAGAATTGTGCACTCTCAGGTAAAGATTACCTTAGCTGTATTTGGTAAAACCTTATTAGATTTTTGGGTAATCGATGCTAATTAACTTCGTAGTTGATTTGGCCTTTTAACTTTTTTGATTCGAGCGTACGTCTCTGGTGGTTTCTTTTGTTGACGAAATGTGCGTCTGGCATACAACACTATAAGTCTGATATCCTTGGTGAGTTTTTTCGATCCTAAAATGTACGGAGATGTTGTTTATATCCATAAATTAAGATACGATCCACGGAAACTTACTGATCTTTTGAATACCAGTAAATATGTTCTGAATGATTATCATTTTAATTTTGTAGTAATTTCCATTGAAGTTACAGATATTGACTTTGATTTTAATAAATCAAAACACAACTTAGATAAATGTTATATACTAGTAGCTATAAAGATATGAGCACTTTTGGTTCTACATCATGTCGATACTTATGTTTTGGCATTGCATAAGGCCATGTTTTTCTCAGACTCTTGTTTATGACGACTATACACTAACTCCGTTGGATATGTACTGATTGATATTTTAGTCTTGCAAAAAAAAAAGATTTATATATTAGTCGGAATTGGCTTTGAACTAGCTTTCAGTAACTGCGAGTTCTGTTAGATCGGTACTTTGTCCTTTTGTTATCTTTTATGCTGCACTTCGTGTCGTTCTGATGAGTCAATCCCTTTCAAAATGACTTTTATAGTTTGTTCTTGTGTTGTGCTGCTACATCCCACTGACCTGGGCAAGGAGAGGGTTTAGCCCTAATAAACATTCTGTATGTGCCTGTCCAAAATCAGGAGCTTGTAATTCAGTTGTTGTTCATGATTGCTATCTGCCATATTTGTTTTTCGTTTATTGTTTTAAACAGAAATCAAGCCGTTGGTTTACCCTTTTGAATTGTTTAACATTTTGTTATGCGTCTTGTTCATGGTTGAATGTCGTACGTGATCTATAGTTTGTCTCTGGTGGCTATTTGTCTCGTAGGCAATCATACCACATCTCCTTATGTTTATATGAATTCGGGAATATATTTGTTAAGCAAAATGAAAAGTAGAGAAACAAATACGAAAGAGGAGAAAATGAAAAGATTTAACGTCAAAGACAAAACCATTTAAAGTTAATTACATTTCGCACCAAATAGTGAAGTGATAATAAACAAGAGTGCACACGCTAGAATGTCTCGGCTGTATTACTTATCATTTAATTTATGTTGAAAGTCTGTAATATGAAGGTTTTATTACAAGTATCACATAAACTTAACATTATCAATGTTCTATAGGTCATGGTCAGATTAACAATGCCGGATACACATGAGAGGAAAAACAGCAATAAAAGCGTTGTTCCTTTGCTTGTTGTGTGTGTTTTGTTGTGCATGTACTGATTTTGTGTCATGAATGGATACCTCATATCCTTTGCTTTTCTATTATGTACACCTTACAATCAAATATTTCTCCAATCGCCAAAAGTACCTGAGAATCACAAAATCTTAATATTGACCAATGCAACATTACAATGAGGTTAAGGTCATATGAACCCTGCTAGACAGACATTACACCTTACAATCGTTTCATACACCAAATATAACTGGTTATAATAATTGCTTATAACATATTCGAAACCATTCGAAAGCATGTCATCTGTTTTATCTTTTTTGCCCGGTCCTCAAACATTCGTACGCTGCAATTTCCCACTAATCAAGAACAAAGGTCAAGGAGGAACCGTTTCTTACTTTTTAAGATTTAAGAAAATGTGCATATTTTTTCTTCTATATGATTAAATAAAGTACGAAAACAAGGAAATCTTTTAGAACAAAGATTGACAGTAATTTATCGACGCCGCATTTTTTAATAAACAGCGCCTTTTTTCAGAAATACCAATGAAAAAAGAATAAAATCCAAATTACGTGTTTGTGATTCTACTGTTTATTTTTTTGGTGCCAGACAAGTCTTATACATCATCCAATTCTTAATTGATTGATTGTTGTGTGTTTTACGTCCAACTTACTTGTTCAACTGCTCATACATTTTCCCACAATACCGCCTTCTCACGGCCAAAACACCAGTTTTTTATCTACTCTACGTTAAAAGTTGTATGTAGTCAACGTATTAGGTCGAAGAAAAATAATTATAAAGAATAGGAAAAAACTATACACGTGAGTGGAAATTTATGGGTCGAAACTTGCACAATGTGTATTGTAAAATTTCAAACTACTGGCAAACATGTAGTGAAGGCACGATGGATGTAAAAATTGCTAACTCACTACAACTCAAAATGATCAAGCTGCAGACCAAATATTAAATCATTCCCATTCTTTTTGTTTTTGTACAACGAGTGTTGTCAAATCTGAAACTATTGGCAAACAGGAAGTAGCTGCAGCAGGAGAAGACTTCATAAGTATGATTTACTTGAATATGTCTCATCCATTATGCTCACATTTAGCAAATAAAATATGTTTAAACTAAATCTAAAATCATAAGTCGAAGATAAATATGTAACGCTATGACCAAAGCAAAATAGTCGAACAGACAAAAAAAAGTAAAGCGCATTTTGTGAAACTCTTGCAAATTTCTGTGAGTTCATTCTTGATTGACGTTGATTTAACGGAGATTGCACCGTCCGAATGTTTCACGACTGGGCAAAAAAGAAAATACTGATGATAAGCCTCCGAATGTTGTTGATAGAGTCGTTTGTTGAGTGGGTGCATTGAAGTCATTAACTAAAATCCTTTTTGAAAAAGGTCTCTCGCCTAAAATGTATATCTGATTGGGAAAAAATCAACCAATCAAGACTTGAAAACCTACACTGCAGCAGGGTTAAAAAATTGTGACACATGAAATCATGAAGATATAACCTTTTAATAAAGGGTCATGTATTATCATAATATTTATATAACTACATATTCTATATATATATACTGCATATTTATCATTTATCACGATTAAATTCTCCGTCAAACAAATCCACCTTTTATACAACTGTCACGTGTAATAACATGTATCCTATGACATCCTATATACGGATCCTGGCGGAGTTACACTATACATAATATGGCCCTATGCACCTTATATGGTCACGTCAGTTCCAGCTAATGACACCAATGGCCATCAAAGAGTTTCATCTAATATAAATGTTGAAAAAATTACAATGTATGTGCATAAAATCATGGTTTTTTTCAACGAGCTGAGCTGCTTTTTGCACCAAATTCACTTAGGCAACACATTCTTTAAAAACATAAAGAGTAATGTTCTTTAAAACTCTTGAACGATAAATTTCAAATATATCTGTATGTGGTTTGAATTTATTTGAGTGCCAAAATGCTGTTAACCACTATAAGGTTTTCAATTTTGAAAAATGGGCTGTACTTCAAAAAGTTTGCCTGTGTTATATTTATGTAAAATATGTCAATAATACGACTTATTGAGACTTAAAAGATCAGTAACCACTCATTCTGCAAGTACACAAATTCACAAATATCAGCATAAAAGAGAGGCAAAATATCCAAAAAAGATATTCAAACTCATTAATCGAAACCATATTGACAATGGAATGGCAAAACACGACGAGAAGACAGAACATTCACAAGAACTAAACATTAGTCTCTAGTGGATAGTTGTCGAATTAGCAATGATATGATTGTGTCCTTTCCCCTTTATTGCTACTTGTTTATGCTTTGCAAGTAATGCATTGGACATGGTAATACAAATAAGAGTGATATATTCAACAGTTTTGCACTAGTGCAGTATCTCTTGATGGATGGAGACGCAACATAGTATTCTAGTTTTTGTTACGTGCGAAACGTCCAGTGGCAAATATTTTATGCATATTTGGGACAACAACAAATAAACAATAAATCTAATAGGTTAGTTCTGCAAGGTGATTCGACCGAAATGAAAAACGGGAGATTTCCACTGGAAAACGAAGGTGGTCGGACAGAGACAAAAATGTTGCCATGCAATAGACCAGTTATACGGACCCCGAAAGAGTTGTTGAAAATGTACCCCCTGTCAACCCTTGGAGTTAAGGTTACAAAATATTTGGGATTATTTTTCCACACCACACTAAGAAGAATATTTACAGAACTCACAAGCTAGTGACATATAATATTCACCCGGGGAACAAAATTAACGATTATGTGCAATAATCCAATATAATCCATGTATTTACTAGTATACAATATCAACATCGTCAAATGACTGAAATGTTGGAATTTGATCTTTAATTATCTATGTGCAGATATCTCATATAACGTCTGTGTCGTTTTTTCTTGGAAGACCCGTGCACTTGAAATGAGAATCGAAAGTACGTATAATCCATGGGAAAGTACATATCTCATTCGTTTATCATAACATGTACCTTGAGGTATCCGTATATTAAATCTTATTATCAAAGCATAGATAACAAGCTAGATATATATAAATAAATCACTCTCCATTCGGGCTTTAGTTCTCAATCCCAACCAAAAATGGCAGGTCATAGCTTAGCTTTGATTGCCATTGTTTGTGTATCCATAGTGGCTGGTGCAAGAAAGAGCCCAGAAGAATGTTTGAAAACACTTCCTGACACCAAGCAACTTTTCGAAGTTCTACCAGGAGTTGGATGGGACAATTTACAGAACACTGAGCAATACAGAGTACTTGATATTTCTTACAATGAATGTCAAACAACTGCAGATCGGAAATTTCTGGTTCCAGATGGATTTACTGTTGAGCCAGTCAAAACTAGCGAAATCAGTATTTTTGCAGATACTTTCAGTACCCACAACTCTTTTACTAGTGCAACGTCTGCATCCGTTAACAAACAATTTTGCGCCAGCGATTCAACTTTGTTCGAAAAATCGCAGATAAGTGGTTCTTATTCTAATGACGCTCAATTTTCAGTGAATAAGCAACTTGAAACAAATTCAACATTGGTACGCGTTACTGCTAGTTTCCCACGTTACCGAATTACAATAAAAGAGGATGCTCCTCTTGACCCTGTTTTTCGTAGACGGTTACAGAAAATAGCAGCCATGCTGGACACTAATCAAGATCAAATGGCAACCTTCGAATCAGAACTTTTGACTCGCGACTACGGTACACATGTCTTGTCTGATATTTTGGTAGGTGGATTACTAGTGAAAAATGATTACATTATAAAATCAAGTGAATCTAACACTGTTTCTGCTTCTGATAGAAGTAGCATGAATTTTCAAGCAGGACAATCTTTCAATAACTTCTTTTTCAAGAAGGGAGCAGAAGGTAGAAGTTTTACACAAAACAATTCAAAATCTGTATCTGACACCCAAAAATACATGAACAGTTTACAATACTCAAAGGTTACCACATATGGTGGACCTGTATTTAATATGGGACAATTTAGTATGGAGGACTGGGAAAAGGGACTCGAATCTAATTTAGTTGCGATAGATAGAAGCGGAAAATCTCTTTTTGATTTTATCAATCCATACACGCTCCCAGAAATGTCCCCGACAACAGTATTTAAAGTAGAGAACCTCGCATTGTTGTCGGCCTCGGGTTATTATAAACATAATTGCGTGTATGGCTGCACCGATCCAAAGGCAATTAACTTCAATAGCAAAGCAAATATAGATGACGGGACCTGTGGATTGAAAAGCGATTCCTTCTCATTCGGGGGATTTTTTCAAACCTGTGAAGAGGGCGACGGTCATTTGTGTGATCATTTCAGTTTTGTTAATCCACGCACAAACCAATATTCTTGTCCTGCCGGGTATAGAACAAATCGTCTTTGGAAGGCGAAAAAATCTTACGGGGCACTTTGTCGTGACATGAAGGTTAAAAGTTTGTCTTGTTCATTCTTGAATCATAAAAATATCAACGAATATACAGAGATTGAATATTCCGTATACTGGTGTTCTCCAAATGTTCCACAAGGAAAACCACCACAATCTTCAGGATTTCTGTTCGGAGGAATGTGGAACCCGTCTTACCAAAAAAATCCAGTAACTGGTGGAAACTATTGTCCATGTGGATTTTCTGAAGTTACCTTGGGAGTAGATCTGAACCTGTGCTATGGTAATGATGTTTCGGACAACAGACTCAAGGCCGTTACATTTGGTGGCCTTTTCAGCTCCATGTCTGGAAATCCGCTTGCTGGACCTAGTCCTAAAAATGACTCTGACAATTCAAATCAGTTCGCAGAAAAATGTCCTAAGACATTTTCCAAATATCTAGCAACAGTTGATGAAAATATTGACATCTATTACTGCAGCGTTCATAGAAAAGATACAGTTTTTGAGACAAGAGAAGCTATTCGACCACCTTTCATGAAGAGACCTCTAATCAAACCTTACGAATTAACAAGTGCCATGGTAAAAATGACCGATATGGAAGCAGCAACTATAAAACTGATATCGTTAAAAGGTTCTGACTCAAAGCTTACGGCATTTGAAAAGGCTGATCTTAAATACCAACAATTAAGCAATGAGGTACCGGATAACCAGAATAATGATGGGTCCAACGGTCAGAGTAGCACGACAATTATAGTCGTGTCAACGATTGCAGTTGGAGCGGTGATGCTTGCTGCAATTGTGCTGACCATCTATATAAAGAAAAGACGAGGACAAAACGAAGAATACACTCGATTGGCAAATAATTTACCCAGCACCTAAACAGAAAAAAGGTTAGTTTGAATATATTGACAAATTACTTTAACGAAATCTCGGGAAATAGGAAATTCACATATTTATATGACATGCTGTACGTCAATGATTGGTGATTGCTTGGTGTTTAACGCCAATTTCAGCACAATTGTACTATTTCGTGGCGGGATACGTCAATGAGGCAGCGTCACAACAATCCCGGAAAAGACATTTTTTTTCACATACGGTCTTCAACAACAGACAAGTCTGTCCATCATACTGGTTATTATTTATTTTCAATAAATGTAACCTAACTTGTATGATTGCCCGTTTTAATTTAAATACATTATCAATATTTTCAGTTATTTTTTTTAGATACGTCGAAGGCCTATGTATAAAAGCAATACTGGATATCCGTCTATCAATGTGGGCCTTTAACACATTATTGATTAATTTTACACTGGTTTATGTTTAAGGAGTGCGTAACTTAAAATAACATCGTTAAAACTTTATGGTATATCTTCGTTGATTTGATTTGGAATAAAACTGAGAGTATGATTTTGGGGCTTGAAAATGTATAAGGAACTGTTCGTAATAGAACCTCTAATTATATTGTTTTTATATTTCAGGGTTTTAACATCGAAACGGATGCCTCCAAAAAGACCGAAGGACATTTTTAACGAAAACAGACTGATGAAAAAGTTGATTTATTTTGTGATCCTTATACGTATAGTTATAATGAAAACAGAAATATTAAATGTTTGCCTTATGACTTCTATTTGTTTAGGATCCTTTGACAGATCGGAAATTTTTATATTTATATACGGCCATAATACGGGTTATATATCGAGTTGGTTTAATATGATTTTGACTATGTTCAAATGTTTAATATAAAAAAAGATAAGGAGATGTGGTATGATTGCCAATGAGAAAACTATCCACCAATGGTTAAATGAGGCAGATGAAACCAATTATAGGCAACTGTACGGCCTTCAACAATGAGAAAAACCCATACGTTTTCACATGTTTAAAGTGCATGAATACTACAAAACAGATGTAGAGGTCAAAGATTCCTTTGAAACACAATCATAAAAATGACAGAAACATTGTTTTCTCCGCCTTCCGTATTTGATGAAGTTGACTTATAGTCAGATGCCACAGTGAATAACTATGTGGAATCTAACAATGTTTCAGACCTCTTACTACTTGAAAAGCTATTTGTGCATTTGTTTTGCTTCATTTCCTTGTCCACTGGGAGTATCTTTTGATTCATTGATAGATACATTAGTCATGTGACTAATATATCTATGATTCATAGAATGGTTGTTTCGGTCCATTTGCGTTTCTATTTGTTTCCTGTGTGTCACATATTAATATGGCTTGCGGTTTCATTTTTAAAATGTCAATACCAATTGCAATATGACTATCAGACAAAAGGCTGTTTCGGAGTTGGAATTACAGTCAAGACAAAATTTTAGAACTGTGAGTACTGTTTTTGTCGAGCCTGCGACTTCTGTCACAGAAAGCGAGACATAGGCATAGTGATCCGGCGGCGGCGGCGGCGTTAACAAACTTCTTAAAAGCTTAATACATGTATTTCAGAAGGTTGAAGACATGGATCCTTCATACTTTGTATATACTAGTAGATGCCTTATGTTATAAAATTTCTGTCTGTCATATGTTCATTGTTCTTGACCTCATTTTCATGGTCCAGTGACTACTTGAAATAAAAGTTAAGATTTTTAGTATTCTTAACTTCTCTCTTATTATAAGTAATAGGATAACTATATTTGGTATGTACGTGCCTTGCAAGGTTCTCATGTCTGTCAGTTTTCACTTGACCTCGACCTCATTTGATGGATCAGTGAACAAGGTTAAGTTTTCGTAGTCAAGTCCATATCTAAGATACTATAAGCTATAGGTCTACTATATTTGGTGTATGGAATGATTGTAAGGTGTACATGTCCAATTGGCAGGTGTCATCTGACCTTGACTTCATTTTCATGGTTCAGTGGTTCAAGTTAAGTTTTTGTGTTTGGTCTGTTTATCTAATACTGTATGCGATAGGTCAACTATATTTGGTGTATGAAAATATTACACTGTACATGTCAGTCTGGTGGATTTTATTTGACCGTGACCTCATTTTTATGGTTCATTGCTCAATGTTAAGTTTTTGTGTTTTGGTCTGGCTTTTTTTAGCTCACCTGACCTGAAAGGTCAAGTGAGCTTTTCTCATCACTTTGCGTCCGTCGTCCGTCGTCCTGCGTCCGTCGTCCGTCGTCCGTCGTCCGTCGTCCGTAAACTTTTACAAAAATCTTCTCCTCTGAAACTACTGGGCCAAATTTAACCAAACTTGGCCACAATCATCATTGGGGTATCTAGTTTTAAAAATGTGTGGCGTGACCCGGTCAACCAACCAAGATGGCCGCCACGTCTAAAAATAGAACATAGGGGTTAAATGCAGTTTTTAGCTTATAACTCAAAAACCAAAGCATTAAGAGCAAATCTGACATGGGGTAAAATTGTTCATCAGGTCAAGATCTATCTGCCCTGAAATTTTCAGATGAATCGGACAACCCGTTATTGGGTTGCTGCCCCTGAATTGGTAATTTTAAGGAAATTTTGCTGTTTTTGGTTTTTATCTTGAATATTATTATAGATAGAGATAAACTGTAAACAGCAATAATGTTCAGCAAAGTAAGATTTACAAATAAGTCAATATAACCGAAATGGTCAGTTGACCCCTTTAGGAGTAATTGCCCTTTATAGTCAATTTTTAACCATTTTTCGTAAATCTTAGTAATCTTTTACAAAAATCTTCTCCTCTGAAACAACTGGGCCAAATTAAACCAAACTTGGCCACAATCATCATTGGGGTATCTAGTTTAAAAAATGTGTGGCGTGACCCGGCCAACCAACCAAGATGGCCGCCACAGCTAAAAATAAAACATAGGGGTAAAATGCAGTTTTTGGCTTATAACTCAAAAACCAAAGCATTTAGAGCAAATCTGACATGAAGTAAAATTGTTAATCAGGTCAAGATCTATCTGCCCTGAAATTTTAAGATGAATCGAACAACCTGTTGTTGGGTTGCTGCCCCTGAATTGGTAATTTTAAGGAAATTTTGCTGTTTTTGGTTATTATCTTGAATATTATTATAGATAGAGATAAACTGTAAACAGCAATAATGTTCAGCAAAGTAAGATTAACAAATAAGTCAACATGACTGAAATGGTCAGTTGACCCCTTTAGGAGTTATTGCCCTTTATAGTCAATTTTTAACCATTTTTAGCTCACCTGACCTGAAAGGTCAAGTGAGCTTTTCTCATCACTTTGCGTCCGTCGTCCGTCGTCCTGCGTCCGTAAACTTTTACAAAAATCTTCTCCTCTGAAACTACTTGGCCAAATTTAACCAAACTTGGCCACAATCATCATTGGGGTATCTAGTTTAAAAAAATGTGTCCGGTGACCCAGCCAACCAACCAAGATGGCCGCCATGGCTAAAAATAGAACATAGGGGTAAAATGTAGATTTTGGCTTATATCTCTGAAACCAAAGCATTTAGAGCAAATCTGACATGGGGTAAAATTGTTTATCAGGTCAAGATCTATCTGCCCTGAAATTTTCAGATGAATCGGACAACCCTTTGTTGGGTTGCTGCCCCTGAATTGGTAATTTAATGGAAATTTTGCTGTTTTTGGTTATTATCTTGAATATTATTATAGATAGAGATAAACTGTAAACAGCAATAATGTTCAGCAAAGTAAGATCTACAAATAAGTCACTTGACCAAAATGGTCAGTTGACCCCTTAAGGAGTTATTGCCCTTTATAGTCAATTTTTAACCATTTTTCATAAATTTTTGTAATCTTTTACAAAAATCTTCTCCTCTGAAACTACTTGGCCAAATCTAACCAAACTTGGCCACAATCATCATTGGGGTATCTTGTTTTAAAAATGTGTGGCGTGACCCGGTCAACCAACCAAGATGGCCGCCACGTCTAAAAATAGAACATAGGGGTTAAATGCAGTTTTTAGCTTATAACTCAAAAACCAAAGCATTAAGAGCAAATCTGACATGGGGTAAAATTGTTCATCAGGTCAAGATCTATCTGCCCTGAAATTTTCAGATGAATCGGACAACCCGTTATTGGGTTGCTGCCCCTGAATTGGTAATTTTAAGGAAATTTTGCTGTTTTTGGTTATTATCTTGAATATTATTATAGATAGAGATAAACTGTAAACAGCAATAATGTTCAGCAAAGTAAGATTTACAAATAAGTCAATATAACCGAAATGGTCAGTTGACCCCTTTAGGAGTAATTGCCCTTTATAGTCAATTTTTAACCATTTTTCGTAAATCTTAGTAATCTTTTACAAAAATCTTCTCCTCTGAAACAACTGGGCCAAATTAAACCAAACTTGGCCACAATCATCATTGGGGTATCTAGTTTAAAAAATGTGTGGCGTGACCCGGCCAACCAACCAAGATGGCCGCCACAGCTAAAAATAAAACATAGGGGTAAAATGCAGTTTTTGGCTTATAACTCAAAAACCAAAGCATTTAGAGCAAATCTGACATGGGGTAAAATTGTTTATTAGGTCAAGATCTATCTGCCCTGAAATTTTCAGATGAATCGGACAACCCTTTGTTGGGTTGCTGCCCCTGAATTGGTAATTTAATGGAAATTTTGCCGTTTTTGGTTATTATCTTGAATATTATTATAGATAGAGATAAACTGTAAACAGCAATAATGTTCAGCAAAGTAAGATCTACAAATAAGTCACTTGACCAAAATGGTCAGTTGACCCCTTAAGGAGTTATTGCCCTTTATAGTCAATTTTTAACCATTTTTCATAAATTTTTGTAATCTTTTACAAAAATCTTCTCCTCTGAAACTACTTGGCCAAATCTAACCAAACTTGGCCACAATCATCATTGGGGTATCTAGTTTTAAAAATGTGTGGCGTGACCCGGTCAACCAACCAAGATGGCCGCCACGTCTTAAAATAGAACATAGGGGTTAAATGCAGTTTTTAGCTTATAACTCAAAAACCAAAGCATTAAGAGCAAATCTGACATGGGGTAAAATTGTTCATCAGGTCAAGATCTATCTGCCCTGAAATTTTCAGATGAATCGGACAACCCGTTATTGGGTTGCTGCCCCTGAATTGGTAATTTTAAGGAAATTTTGCTGTTTTTGGTTATTATCTTGAATATTATTATAGATAGAGATAAACTGTAAACAGCAATAATGTTCAGCAAAGTAAGATTTACAAATAAGTCAATATAACCGAAATGGTCAGTTGACCCCTTTAGGAGTAATTGCCCTTTATAGTCAATTTTTAACCATTTTTCGTAAATCTTAGTAATCTTTTACAAAAATCTTCTCCTCTGAAACAACTGGGCCAAATTAAACCAAACTTGGCCACAATCATCATTGGGGTATCTAGTTTAAAAAATGTGTGGCGTGACCCGGCCAACCAACCAAGATGGCCGCCACAGCTAAAAATAAAACATAGGGGTAAAATGCAGTTTTTGGCTTATAACTCAAAAACCAAAGCATTTAGAGCAAATCTGACATGGGGTAAAATTGTTTATTAGGTCAAGATCTATCTGCCCTGAAATTTTCAGATGAATCGGACAACCCTTTGTTGGGTTGCTGCCCCTGAATTGGTAATTTAATGGAAATTTTGCCGTTTTTGGTTATTATCTTGAATATTATTATAGATAGAGATAAACTGTAAACAGCAATAATGTTCAGCAAAGTA